CCGCCCTTTCGTCGACAGTCGGCCGGATATCACGCCTACGCCAGAGACGGCGTAAAATGGCATTTGCGAAACTAGCCGTCTGTATCAGTGCTGAGATTTCGTCAGAGATCAACCAGTTAGCCAGTTTGAACTGTTCAGTGAAAAAACCTACCTTGGTAGTAATTCATCCTCATCATTCACAATGAACTGTTTAAAAGTCACGCAAAATACAGCCTACCAGTAAACTTCACAATCAGTAATTCTTGTGTACATGCCTTGAAGAAAAGTCTAGTCTCCTTTTGTAAGCATTTATTTCACTCAACTTTGCCTAGCGGCAAATGACTAAACATCAAAGCGTGTTTTTATCTAAAAACAAAAAAAAACTGTTTTATTTTTTTAAATTATTTTTTTCAATATTACTCAAATTAATACATACATCTGTTTCATCTCATGTGAATAGACTAAAGGAAAAGAAGAGATTTATAATAAAAGGAATGAGAATCTTAAGCAACACTGAAATATCAAATTTTTGGTACTTCATTGCCTGCAACAGTTAACGAACGGGAAGGCATTGAAAAACCTTTTTCATTTTTTATATTTACATATTGTTTTCTTTTTGTGTTACCGATGCATTAAAGGAGAGCAAAATAAAAAGAAAAAGGTTACTGAAGGAGGAATCATGAACATCATACTATCAATGCTTATACTGATTAATCAATTATTAAAAAAGCATTACCTAGGTAGGGAATATATTCTTCAATAAAGAAACAACTTTGTTATGTATTCTATGACGTGAAGTAGGAGAAGAGTTAATCCGATGTTATTATTACTATGATTATTATTATTATTATGAATACTTTTAATACTTTAGATGAATTTATTATTCATATGATTACCTATGATGAGGTAGACCAATGAAGTAAAGTTATACAGAGAAGCAGAAACACTGACGGAATCTGAAAGCGCTTTAAATCTTTAAATACTTTGTTGTTCTAAACATAGAAATTTATGCAAGAAAAAAAAAGATGAAGAAATTGATAAATAATTCTAAGAAGATTTTCATTCTTCTTATGAATTATAACGTCAGTGTGTGGGATTTCTATTTTTCTTGCTTATAGAACCCTTGTAAACCACACGGAATTATTGGATAGCTGTTTTTTTTCCCTTATTTTGTACTCTTCACTAATAACCGCCCATGGCTGCATATATATCAGGCAACGAACTCATGGCCTTCAGGTTAAAAAAAATGAGGTTATTAGCTATTAAGCCACTGGGGATGAATTCATTGGCCGGCTCTTGAATCTTGACTCCTGCCATCGACGAGTATCTGTCCCCATAGCCAACTTGGTTGAGTCCACTGGTAACGATTTTCCACTTGTTTGGGGGTGATTAGAGTCGGGATACAGGACGCGTGCACTTCATCCCTTATTACATTTAGTGAGTAATGGTATTCACACAGAGGCTGGAATCCATCACTCGCCGCTTTCGAACTCCAAAACACTGTCCTTTGGAGTACTGAGACATGAAAATCGCCTCCTTTTCATCGGTTGCGATTTGAAACTGATAACTAATGCCTACGATTTACAGTGGACATATCTGCATGAAGTTGAATAACCTCGATTTAGCTTATGAGACTCCTGAAAGGATCCCATTAAATTGCATTAACGCGTAATCACAAATCTGAGTAAATAATTCCTCATCTTTTAACCACAATTATATATACACATAAGAAAGCATTTCATTTCAGTTATCCGATATCTCAGTATGATTGAAATGCTTTTGTATTATATGATTATTATTATTATGATTCCCCTGGGTTCTTAGTAGAATATAAGATATAAGAACAGCACATTCCCATTCCATCCTGTTCTCTGAAGTTCTCTTTTTAGCTGACCCATTGATTGCTCACAAGCTTTCAACTCCCTTGTGTCACATTTGGATACATATTTCCTATTCCGATTCCACTCGAGCTGTGACCTTGACACGTGACTTCACCAGGCATTATCCTCAACGTGTTTCTGATTCATTTCCAATTACTTCTACACATTTGTTGAGCAATGGATTCTTGATAGATACATCCCAAGACTTTCCGGGTGCTAATTGTTTCTGGTCATCTGATCTTCTGCTTGAAGAGGAGCGCGGCCGTCTTCAGTGGTCTGTCAGAAATGCTTTTGGCGTGGTGCCGGGTTTTTGACTCATAGAGAGGAAATTAGTTGACTTTGGTGTTGAAAATTTCGGATTTTGCTCTGTATGAGTTGAAGGTCTGACTTACCTTTCTCGTCTTGATTTTGACGTCCTCATCGATGCTGTCCACCTGCATTCTCAACGATGCTGCCTACATCAGTGAAGGAAACGATTTCGTTCAAACTCTCCTATTGAGAGTGATTGGTGCTTATTGTTGTTGGTGGTGGTGGACACTAGGGTATCTTCGTAGTGCGTCGGTGGCATAGCGGTCAGGACACTCGCCGACCATGCACATGGTCCGGGGATCTATACACGGCCAACACACTCCTTTACCTCGCTAAGCTAGAAATAATGCTGGAAAAGAGAAAAGATATCAATAACAATAAACTTTTAATTCGCTTTACTAAGCTGACAAAGTTAATTTGCCAACACAAATCAATGCCTTTCAGACTGGAGTCAGACAAAAGCATACATGCGGTAATTGGAAAGAAAAACTTCTGTAGGTAGTAACATATCTTCCAAGTTCACATAAATCAGTTTCCTTAGCTTTGGACAGTGTTCTTCTCTTTGCGGGTTTGATAGGATGATTTTTTTTCAACAAATTGTGCACCCAATTTGCACCTGTATGAGTAACGAGAGCTCTTATCCTATTGGTCAGTGCTGGAGACTTTTTTCATCCATTGAGCAGGTGAAATGAAAGAATCACTCCTTATTTTTATTGATAGATATCTAAATAAACAAACTGGTTAATGGGCTATTCCATACAGGTTTTCTGCGAATACATATTTTCGGAGCTTCGTCAAACCTTCTCGTTAATTCCACACATAGAAATATATATTGCTTCTGGTATGAATTTGCAAAAAATTGGCAGATTTCTTTCCCAGGAAATTATAAAATGAACCTTTGAACAACCTTATTAAAAAACTCTTTTTTATGTGGTTATGTTCTTTGAGCTGGATTGTTTAATTTGCGAAGCTTTCACTGCCCCTCCACTAGGCAACATCTTCAGCGCATACTTCAATTTGAAGTGAGCTTTTAGATTTCTCCACGATTTAATGAGCATCTCTCAGGGAGACCTAAAATGTGATTGGTTGCTTTCGTGTTTTTTCACACCACATAGGCCACTTGTATTGGAATTGATTGTTTCCTTGACTTAAACTTTGACACTTTGTAGGTGAGATTTCTTTCTTATCGGTTGGTAGATTTTGTCTATCTCGATGTGTCTATTGATTGACGTATCACTGGAATACCAGGCTTCCAAAAATTCTCTAGCATTGCTGGTGTTTCCTCTGTCTGATATTTGAACGTTGCCTCAGTCGAAATGATATCCGTGGTTGTCTGTATGCAGCGATATGATGGAGTGGATGTGATGTCTTTTGATGACTAGTTTATGATCATGGATAAGAAGACGAATGGGACATCCACTTCAACTTTTTTATCGATAGATATCTTTGTTAAAGTGAACTGAACAATGAACATACATCCTGAAGTAGTCTGGTTGATAGTAATTATCAGTAGAATCCAGGAGGAGCATTTCGTTTTTATTCGGTACTCATCACACCGTTGTGAGTGATGGTATTCCCACTGGGACTCGAACCCAGCACCCATCATTTCAAACTTCAAAGCCTTATCCACTAGACCATTTGGGACACGAGATCCACTTCTTTTGCAACGGGTGTCAGTTATTTTTTTTAATACAATACTCTTTTGATTTCTGTGTTGGTTGACTGAAGTGGAATATTCAGCCTCTGTTGATATCATCGAAGCTTTGGTCCTAGGAGCCGATATATCAATAGAAGCTTCACATCTCGGTCCTGTAAATTAACATGAAAATCAATATCGTATTAAAAACAAAGAATATGCATCTTACTGATGCAGTTTTAGAGTTGAGGTTGACATACCGACACGCATATAAAGAAATTGTCCAAATATTTTTTTGCACAGGAAACATGGTTTTTGTAAGCGGCTTGATGGTAAGCAGACAGAAACTTTGATTCCAATGACAATATTCGTTTTCTAGCTTCACTGAAATCTTTTCTTCATAGCACTAATGAATTAGAAATGATGTCGAGGAAAGTACTTGTATAATTCCCTGTCTAGAGTCTTTAACATTTTAGGAAGCAGTATAACAGATGCATGGTGGAATGCCTCCAACACATCCAGAAGTGGTTCAACCTTATGACTCTGTTACGTCAGTACCGCACATGTTATTTTAAATTATATGCATTTAGGCTGTACTTGTTTCTGTTAGACAGAGAATCAATGAACTCTAAGTGGTTACAGGATTTCAACAGGAACTGAAATTGGTAAGGGAAAAACCATAGGAAAATCAAGGAGTATCGAACAATTAACTTACCCAAATTTGAGACTCTTCAATGCTACACAGGGTCGGAACCCGGGACCTACTGGTTATAGTGATCTCGTAGACAAATCAGTCACTGCCGCCCGATCCAGTGGCTATGCTTCTGTAGCTTTAAGTCAAACCTAATGGACCCGGGTAATGGCAACCTGGATAAAGCCAGTTGATAGTGAGCATCAAATTAACTGGAAGGTAGTGATTTCGAACCCCCATGGTGGATGCGTACTTTTGAAAAGTTTCAGGCTACGACGAAACAGCTGTTCAGTACTCTCAGGTTTTCCAGCGGTCCTCTAACCGATGTCAGCTCATGACAAAATCGTGGAAGCAATTAAATCAAATCTCCTACAAATCAATACTTGAATTCTCAGTTGTATTGTATTGTATTCTATTTCGTTAGTAGTTATGATATCAATAATTAAGAAACAAAATTTCCCCTTTAGTGTTTGTTAATTTTTCTGTTTTCTGTTTTTTTTTGCAGTTGGAATTATCTTCGCTCTCCCAATAATGATATTTCAAGTGCTGACACCAGATCCATCGTATGATGATGTACTACCGCATAACATTACTATGCTGAATACTATTCCGCCTATTCGCATAGACAACAACTCATATTATATGACTGATATACCACAATATCAAACTGCAACTATAGCAAACTTTAAGGATGTAGCTAATAATTTTATTACCAATAATAATATCAATAATAATAATAATGAAAATTGCAATCGTGAAGTACTTTGTCGTGAGAAATTTCCATCTCAGTCAAGTCGTACAGGTTATCAATTATTTGTTCTACTATCAACCTATGTACTTCCATTTACTTGTATTTTAATTTTAAACTCTTGCATTGTGTTAAAATTAAAACAAAAGGTAAGTTATTTACTATTGAACATTGAACGTTGAACTTTTGTTGAACTGAAAATGCTGTATTTATGCAATCGTTCTAGGTTTATAGATTTAACATGATTCAATTAAAGTAAAATAGAGTTTATTAATAATTTAATATGTAGATATATTAGACATTATCAAACCATTAAGTTGTAAATATTGTTGTGGGAAAGACAACAACTAAGCTGTCAATCATTAAAGAAAAAATACAAACGTTAACGTAACAACAGTCACCCTTAATGAACTTTGATAGACAGTATATATATATATAATATATATATATATATATATATATATATATATATCAGATACTCTTAGAGGAAAGAAAGTTCTTGTTTTTAAACAATATGACGTCTGAAATCTAAAAAAGTAAAACAAAGAATGTTACCATTTCCTTAGGTTTAATTGTATTCCAAAGAATTGTGCTCCTGGAGATTTATTCTGGCTTTATGCACATAAAATAAGCTCCAGTCTAACAGGGAAAACATTGTAAATAGTCTTCGGGCATTTTTGAAAGCAAGTGTTTCAAAACCTCTTCTTCTAGTTTTCAGGTATTAGTTTGTGGGATTTTGTTTGATTGGTCGGTTGGAGGATTTTATCATGGGAAACCTGACTGTGAGTACTTGACAGCAAGGCGGTTTTGTATACCTTATTAAGGATTCTTCATTTTTACGCACCCAACGCCACTGGTGGAACTAAGAACCTTCTTCTACAGATGCACTGTCATCTCTTTTTCCCACATAATTACCAAATTTTTTCCTTCACCATCCCAGTGGAACATAGGCCCCAAGCTAGTGGCTTGAAGTTTCTGTAGCAGTGTTTATTTTTACAGGACGGGATCGCTAGCCTCATGCCCGACCTTTCCTCTTTACCAGCATCATTTCTGGCTTAGCGAGGTAAAGGTGTGCGTCTGTGGCCGGAGATCAAACCCCGGACCATATGCATGATTGGCGAGCGTCCTAACCGCTGTGCCAACGACGCACAGATTGATGTCAGTTAAAGAACCATTGATAAGCAAGAAGTAATGGACAGCTGTATAGCCCTAGTTTGGAACTGCTTACTTCAGCGGTACTTACCCACCCGAAATCAAACCCAGGATCACTAGGCCAAGCCCACATACCATACAACCACTTGGACCCAACCAGAAGGTCCATGAATTCTAACTTCTATCAGTTCTTGAGCTTAGCTCAACCACCAGTTAATGTCATTGATCAGTGTTTGTCCTCACTGTCAACCAGGTGAACCTCAATAGTCACAACCGCTCACCTGAACTCCAGGCTAATTAGCTGTGTTGTAGCCAGTTACCAGTGAGCATCAGACTGGCATCAAACACTGGCTGGTGGTTGCACCAAAATTACGAATTATTAGAAGTTGGGATTCCTGGGCCGCTAGATCTGGTCCAAGTATACTGACTCATCTATGAGGTCGTCTTGTAACTAGAAGGTCCTGAGTTCGAATCCTAGTGGATAGATACTGTCGATGAATCCCAAACTAGTGCGAAATAGATGCCTGGTTCTCAGTAGTTTTCAATAGCTCTCCAACAGATATCAATCCGTGGTTAGATTTGAAGCTATACTAATTACATTGTATATTCTCTGTGTTTGTCTAATAAACGGTAAGACCAAAACTCAGTTGATACTATCTTAAGTAAATAAAAGCTCGAATAAGATAAATGCAATAAATCAGCTAAACAATAAAATTTATGCATATATAAAAATATAACATATAATAATAATAAACTCTATGAAAACGTTTGATTCCTACAAATGTTTAAAATGATTCATATTTGTCCGGCTTATTAAATAACAGTGGGATGAATCAAATTTTACAACCCTGGTACATTCCTTCCCAAGAAAGACATGTTGACTATGAATCAAAACACTGGCTTTCGCCGAGATTGTGCTCTGGCTTTCGACTTACATCAGTTGAAGAAGAAAACACAGCAAAACATAAATTTTAGTACAATACTTGAATCTAAATGCCTAAAGGTTATTTTAGAGAGTTAGTTTGTTGGGGGTTCGACTTGTTTAAAGTTTGATACACTTAGTTACCTTGATAAATTTCGATAGAGAAAGAATGACTAGATTTGTAGTATAAAATGATGTTATCATTCCATTTCACAGGCTCTCATCAGCTGACTGCAAACTACCCGAAATTACAATGGTTATAGATAATAACATTTCATACTTGAATGTTTGAAAGGTAACAGAGAAAACGTTATAAGGTGAACGCATCTGGAATATAAGTATTATAATTTATAGTTTAAGTTACCATCAATTTATATGCTATCAAACTATTTAAAAAAGTGGGGGCAGGGGTGAGAGAAGACAGAAAACAGAAAAATCTAATAAACAGTCTTAGCTTGTACGTCAACATGGCAACTCAAGAAGGTCAAAGTTCATCAATTTGAAAACTTGCTTAGTCAGTTGAGCCCACTAGTGTGTATGACTAATCGGTGTAATGAAAGTGATATGTTTACTAAGCTAGTGAGAGATTGACTACACTCTCCTTCTGTATGCATAAGTTTGTTCTGTGACGTTCGATTGCAATTGCTTCAGCAAACCGTAGTAGATTCACTGTCCTTTGTATGTTTAATATTTTGAAGGATATGGAAATCTCGACAGAATGACCCGTATCCACAAGGTATCTGGTAATTGCACTTTGTAAATATGTGATTCCTTTTAAGCATAAGTTTCTCGGAATATGTTCTGAAAACCGGATAGAAGCCCTTCTTTCTGTCCTCTTAACGTACTTTCTGCCTCAGGTACATGTAAATTTATAAATGCAGTTGATGGTAACATCATCAGGGTACTTATCCAGTTTCGATTGGCTTATAGAGCATGTAGTACTGTATAGTGTCACCTGATTGGCTGCAGGGAAGCATCTCTTAATTGCCCCTTTCATTCTCTTTTTAATCTTTTGCGACACTGTTTCTCCTTTTTATGGGAGGCAAATGAACACTTTCTTCCTTTTCAACTGTTGGATACTTCTCTTTCTCATCTCATTCTTAGCTGTACTTTAGGATAAATCCTTTTGGATACCCAATTTCCTTAAGGCATTTTTCAACAAAGCTTAATTCCTCTTCTACCTTGTTAAGCGAACATAACTTCCTGGCCCTGTAGTACAGTGTCCTTACTGATCCCGCTGTACAGTTCATCGGGAGAAGCTGTTGTAGTGAAGGTATTATCCTGTCCAAGTTTCTTTTCTGTAGATGGACTTTCCGACCGTTCCATCGTTTCTTCTTTCTCCAGTTAGGTCCAGGAAATTGAACTCATCGTTGTGTTCGTATTCCATGGTGAATTTATTGTTTGAGTGGACCTCATTTATAGGTTGTTTAAAGTTTGATCATGAGGTGATATTAGTTGCAGAACCAGTGAAAAAAAGCCTGAGAGTACTGGACACCTGTTTCTTTCCTAATTTGGGCAACTTCCTTTCATTGGTTTCCACCCACCAGGATTCGGTTGCAAGGCAAGTTTATTCACAACTCAGCAACTTTGGCTGTTGGTCGTGCCAGAATCGCGAATTCGTCAAAGTTAGAGTTCATGGAGCGTTGGATTGGATCCCAGTACCTTAATGGTCTTATAACTTGACTTGTGACTACAAGGTCCTAGCTTCGAAACCTGGCGGGTGAGTATTGCTGATAAGCTCCAAAACTAGGACTAATCAGACGCCCAGCTAGTTATCAAACTTGAAACTTGATGTTCATGTTAAACAACCCTGTATATCAAATCAAAGCCTCATTTGATAACTTCTTAAGTGTTGATTAAATTTAGTAGTTTAAGCAGTCAACTGAACTAAAATGCTGGATGGTATCAATTTAAATGAAATAAACTTTTTCAGTTTTGTGATACAAAGTAGCATGAAATCAATGTGTACAGCTTTTCAAACGACTATTAAGTATTTGAAAATAATAGAATACCACATGTTAGATGGTTGAAGGCAATCGGCAGGAAGTCTTGGACCTAGGTTCCGTGCTAGCTGGGACTCATCAGCAAGGCATATCTGCAACCTTGGAAGAACTTATGTCCCTTCTGAGATTCGAGCCCGATTCACCCAGCGCCGCAGTCAGAGACGTTACCACTGAGCTATTCGAGCTTGTGATTAACCTCCTGTAGGACTGTAGTGGATATTTTGATTTCACACTAGTTACTATTGTCCAATCAGAATACCACATGATTATTCAAAGAATGACAACTGTTTGCAGCTTATTTAAAAAAAAGAATAACTTTCAGAGATAATACCATCACCTTGAGAATGATTCATTCCCCTGTTAACGCAACAATTCGTATAGATGGATACTTACAACCTTCTTTCTAAAATCAGTTTATCATCTCATTGAAGTATAACAGAATACTTCACTGATAATCAGAAAGTACAGGCGAAAATCAACAAGTTAGGAATAGACATGCAGACAGCGAAGACAGAACTTCAAGCAAATAAAGTGAAGAAATAGGTGGTGAAGACTTTCGAACAACCAACAGAAACAACAACTAAAACATCCAGTCACTATCAATGGGAGAAATTCGAAAGAGTACACTTCTCTCAATAAATTAAGGTGGAATCGTTTCAACTACAGGCAGACGGTACAGATAAAAATATAAAATCCAGCCAGGACTGGAAAGGCAAAGCGGACTTTGATCACTCTGAAATTAGTGTGTAAATCTGTTGCACTCAATATAAGGAATCCAATTCAGATATTCAACATCAAATTTAAGTCAGCCAGTTTAGAAACCTGACTCATCGTAGAAAGCATTTCCTATGGGCCACAGCAGATTTCTATTAACAGGTCTGCTTTCGCCGGGTGGATACTGAAGTTCAGATAGTCGGCTAGAGAGAGAATTAGCAACAAGCAATTCTGGGAACAGAACAAACAAGAACCAATTGCTCAGGATGGCGAAGGAGAGATGTAGATGGACTGGACACATGCTGAGGAAACCAATTGGTGATATCGTGAGTCAGGCCAAATGGCAAGCAACGAATCG